CCTTTTCTCTTTCTTGTTTTATCTTTATTTTTTTACTCTTATTTTCTTTCTGCTTCTCGTTACGAATGATTTGCTGACCTGGTGGTCTTTGGGTGTATAGGTCATGACGTAGGACGTTCAAGGAGGTAGGTACGCTTTGAATGGTTGGAAATTGCAATCGGAGGAAGAGCTTTGACCGGTGCTCAGTGTTTATGAAGTATACATAGATGATGGGCCTGATTTTCTTTTCCCTCTTTAATCCTTCATGAGCCAAACGGATGAAACCAGCAACTACTTCACATGTCTCGAGATGAGAGCTTCGAAACGGAAACCCGCCGCGCATTCGGAGTCATACCGAGACCCGAACCCACGTATCGCCGGATTTAAAGAAAATTCCTCCTTGCCGGACGGGCCGGGCCAGAGCTTCAAGTCCAAGGAAAATGCCCTAACATAAGGCGAGCCATTGGGTGAACCTGACAGGATACTAATTTAAAGTAATCCTACCGGATTTGATTCTAAGAAGTCTCAGAGGGGCCCCTTGCTCAACCTGAGACGGGGCGGTCCTCCTCAAAGCAAAATGGAACGATGGCGAAACAGCGGAGCAAGCGGAGCATACGGACTTCCAAACGATCTACGATGCACTGCGCTGCGGGGTGAGCTTCGTGTAAGCAATCCAGTTGATGCGTTGGAATGGGGTTATTATATATGCAGATAATTTGTGATCACCCACCCACAGGGAGCGAACTTGTCCAATGTACGCTGATTAAGTGACCGCGAAAGGCACGCGCCAGAGATTGTGGGCCGACGCTTCAGTAGTAACCAATAAGGAAAGAGTATAGTCGCCCAAGGCTCGTTCGTCCCACGAATATAGACCAGTCAGGGAGAAGGGTGTAAGACGAGGGTGCATGGGTTAAAGGCATGAGTGACCTTGGCAACACTTTTACTTCGTAGAAGAGACGGAGGTGTTGATAGTTGCTCCTCGTGTCACAGCTCATGGTCCAGCACCCCCACCGCGGGACTCCCCCTGACGAATCTGAGCCTGAGCCTAAGCCTGAGCTTTAGCTACAAGCGGTCCGTGTGCGCGTGTTCCAGCGATGTACGGAGTTTGGTAGGTTGAAGTATGTATCTGTACTCCGTACCACCTTAAGGTACCTCAAGCTACCTTCCATTGGTAGTAGTTACGAACAAGAATTCTCTGGTTCTCTTTCTCGTCCCTCGTCTCGTCAAATCAAATAACTGAGTATTACGGAGTACGGAGTACATACCTAGCTAGCGTGGAACAGACGTGCCATTCACTAGCCCCTCCCCCTGGGCAGCTGTATTCATATCCGCACCTAATCGCAGCTGTACCACGTACATACAGTAAGGTACCTACGGGACTAGGCCCTGATGCCGTCTGATCGCACGTCCTGTTCCTCTGAAAGGTCCCTACCTTAACTAAGGTACGGACGGATACTACTAATAATACAACGTCGAACGGTTACATGACCCTTTGTGCCCTCCTGCCCGCCTCCTCTCCTTTCTCGATTTCAAACCTTCTCTAAACCTTCCTTTTTCTCTTCCCCTTTTCATCTGTTTATTTTCTCGACTCACGAAATATCTCTTTTTAGGTGAGTAGCTGACTTTGGTCCTCTATTTCCTGCTTCGTACTTACTTGATACTCTGTACTTTGTACTTTTGTCCCGAGAACTCCCTGCTCCACCATAGGGCGGATTTGCCCGCATCCCCCCCTCTTCTCTCGCTCCTTACCCCTCTCGTTTCCCCGCCTCAATCATCTTGGGAGGTCCCCACGATCTCGCACTCTTGTTTCCCAATCTCTGGTATCCAGCACCGGGAAGGCCTCACGGTTGACAGCATCCATCAGCTTCTTTGGCGATTCCAAGTCATAGACACAAATCTGACCGGGGAACTCCTGCATAAGGTAGACGGACGCAGTGAGGTATGTTGCCTTCAAAAGTTCACGACTTGCAAGGGGCAAGTCGGACATTCATCTTGCTTCCTGTCGGGACGATGCAAGCGCACACTGTTCCTGCTTGTGCCAGCTCATTGCAGCTGCGACCATCTTTTCCGCAGACATCTCCCGCAGCTCCCACAGCTTCCCCCACTCCAAGTCTGCACAGCGGCCTGCTAGTTGTCTTCCATTCCACCCAAGGGGATCGTCAGGTCAACCACCCACTTCCCTGTCAGCTCGTCGCCCCTCTTCTTTCCTTCCAAAGCACCTACACGCATTCATTTGTCTTCAAATTCCACAAGAAACCTTCCAGTCACCGACATCTGGGTGGACACCGCATCTAGCTGGTGTCAAGGAAGATCAACCCTGCCGTGCAATGCGAGAGCCAGTGAGCAGAAGAAAATGAAGTCTCGCAGCTTCATTGACTTGTGTGGTTTGTTGTACCGCACAGCTAACATCTATTGATCACAGACGTCCCTGGACCACCACGGAGACTGAACTGGGCGATAGACGACCTATCCATAACCAGCTTCGAGACGCCTTTACTGCTACTGCAAGCCTCGAACCCGACTCGAGCTGTCGATTGCTGAAGAGTACCCGAAACACCCCGACATCGCCTAGATTCCTACGTCTACCGAACCAAGCAGCCCTTCAGTGCGATCAACCGCGTTGCGACGGTCTCCGGGTCTCTCTCCCTCGGCTCTTTCCCGTCTATTATAGTCACAGGCCTGAGGCAAGGTCGAAAACATGTCTCGCAACGCACCTAATCCCTCGGGATCCCGCAAGATCTCCTTTAACGTCAGCGAGCAGTACGATATCCAGGATGTGGTCGGCGAAGGCGCTTATGGCGTCGTCTGGTACTTTTGATACTCCCCTCTAACTCGTATCCTGCCCCGTGACTAACGTATGCTGCCACAGTTCCGCGATACACAAGCCATCTGGGCAGAAAGTCGCTATCAAGAAGATCACCCCTTTCGACCACTCCATGTTCTGTTTGAGGACTCTCCGCGAGATGAAACTCTTGAGGTACTTCAACCACGAGAACATCATCTCTATCCTTGACATCCAGAAGCCACGCGGCTACGACACCTTCAACGAAGTGTACTTGATTCAGGTG